TTGATAACCTCAACACAAGCGGTTTGTTGGTTAATCAATGTAATTAATTCCCCTTAGATTATTGACCATGAGATGCATGCATTAATAATCCAAGTTTACTACCGTGAAAGGACCGAATTAATAACAAGCGTATTAATCGACCGATTCTAGTATTAATTAATATATGAAGCAAAACTAGTTGATCCTTTAAGTAATGTTCAAAATATTAATATGAAATATGAATAGGAATTAATTAATACTCAAGAAAGAATATTAAAGAAGATGAATCCTACTATAGTTAATATCGAGATGTTAACTAATTGTCATCTTAGTAACACTCCCCGATATTAACGTAGAGGAAGAAATAACTATTACTATAACTAATGTCAAGATGTTAACTAATTGTCATCTCAGTAACACTCCCCAACATTGATATAGAAATAGTATTTAAAGAAAGAATTAATATTCAAGGGAGAAGATTAAAGATAATAACTCACAACTTTCAAATTCATTAAGCTTCAAAGGAGCAAAACCAAGATGGAAGAAATACTATTCTAAACTGAGCTTAAGAGTATGGAAGAAGGATTATTAAAAGTGAAGGAAAATGGGGCTATTTATAGGTGTTTTCCAACACCTTGGGCCGGGTACCGGACCGGGTAAAGTGCCCACCCGACCGGGTGCATGTCAAAATCAGATAATCTCCCACGTCATTTTTTAAATTATTGAGGGTCTAATCGGAAGATTTAGAAATGAGAAGATATAATAATAATTATTATTATTATTATTATTATTATTATTATTATTATTATTATTATTATTATTATTATTATTATTATTATTATTATTATTATTATTATTATTATTATTATTATTATTATTATTATTATTATTATTATTATTATTATTATTATTATTATTATTATTATTATTATTATTATTATTATTATTATTATTATTATTATTATTATTATTATTATTATTATTATTATTATTATTATTATTATTATTATTATTATTATTATTATTATTATTATTATTATTATTATTATTATTATTATTATTATTATTATTATTATTATTATTATTATTATTATTATTATTATTATTATTATTATTATTATTATTATTATTATTATTATTATTATTATTATTATTATTATTATTATTATTATTATTATTATTATTATTATTATTATTATTATTATTATTATTATTATTATTATTATTATTATTATTATTATTATTATTATTATTATTATTATTATTATTATTATTATTATTATTATTATTATTATTATTATTATTATTATTATTATTATTATTATTATTATTATTATTATTATTATTATTATTATTATTATTATTATTATTATTATTATTATTATTATTATTATTATTATTATTATTATTATTATTATTATTATTATTATTATTATTATTATTATTATTATTATTATTATTATTATTATTATTATTATTATTATTATTATTATTATTATTATTATTATTATTATTATTATTATTATTATTATTATTATTATTATTATTATTATTATTATTATTATTATTATTATTATTATTATTATTATTATTATTATTATTATTATTATTATTATTATTATTATTATTATTATTATTATTATTATTATTATTATTATTATTATTATTATTTGATGGAGTATATGGCCCAGGAACCCCCGGCCCACAGACTCCTACTTCTCCTACACAGGCCCGTTGAGCCCATGGAGCATCCGAGGCCCAAATACAGTGGCCCAAGTCCAAGGAAGCCCAAAATACACACTGGGGTGCCTTCGGCCACCTTGGCCGAAGGCTCCAAAATACACAGGACATCCATTTCTGGGCGTGCGAAGCTACGGGGAGAAAACGGCAGAAAACAGGAGCCTTTGGCATTATGGAGACCTCGGCACCGAGAAGCCCTCAGCTGAACCAAGCCTTCGGCTACAGAGGGCCTTCGGTCACGCGAAGCCCTCGGCTACGTGAAGAGCCTTCGGCCAAACAGACTCAATCATCGAAAATTCCCTTTGGAGACAGCCAACCACCGCATTTAATGCGACGTCACATCCACCCACCGCATTCAATGCGGTGAACATGCCACTGCCGGTGCCACCCTGATATGCACTAATTAGTAGTGCATAAGTGTATGTTTTAATGTTTGATTTGTGTGAATGGTTTACCATTTTGTTTAGTTTGTAAACATTTGTGTGATTTTAGTTGTAATTGTATTTTAATCTTCATTTATAAGTTGTAAAGCAGAATTAGGAATTACGGTGTTGACAAGGAGGACTTTGAAGTGAAGAAAAAGGAGATTGGACTGTCCAGGAACTGAAACCCGACCGGGTATAACACTTGACCCGGTCGGGTAAGATTTAACAGACGAAGGTGGCTGGAAATTACACAGACCCGGTCGGGTCCCCTATGCCACCCGGTCGGGTCAAACATGACCCGGGACAAAACGACGTGCAGAAACATGAGAACATGGCAGATGATTTGACTTTGACATGCACCCGGTCGGGTGGGCACTTGACCCGGTCGGGTACCCGGCCAAAGGTGTTGAAAAACACCTATAAATAGCCCCATTTTCCTTCACTTTTAATCATCCCTTCTTCCATACTCTTAAGCCTGGTTTAGAATAGGATTTATTTTATATTTTTATAGCATGTTTAGTCTCCAAATGAGGAGCTAAACTTCCATTTCTTGGTGTTGCTCTTGAAGCTTGTTGATTATTAAAGTTGTGAGTTATTTTCTTAACTTCTTCCCTTGAATATTAATTATTCTCTCTTTTTTTATCCCGGAAGGTCATTTACCAGATTTTATTCCCAATAAGTAAAATACAAAATGAAGAGAGGACTAAGCGAAACCCTTCTGGAGGCATACCTCCAAAAACCACAACTGAATTGAAAACAACAACATACAAAAGATGGATTGCCTAAACAATTAATATCTAATAGAAGGAATGCCAAAAAAATCCGTCCAATAGGCCCGCTTAGCATGTATAAGCAGATAACCTGGCCTGGTAAAACTTTCCGTCTCTTTGAATTGGGCCGAGGCAATATGATGGGCGACCCAATTCGTTTCCCGTACTGAGTGTGAAAAACTCAGGTGTTTCCTTTTAGCCATCTGTAGAGTTTTTTGAATCATTCCTCCCCATTTCCACGTAACCCTTCCTGCTAGATATTCCAAGGCTGTAGAGCAATCGGATTCCACCTCAAACACAACATACCCCCTATCCATCATCCACCGCGCTGCAAAGATCATCGCATGCAGTTCTGCTTCGAGCGCCGATGTAGCCTTAACCGGGAAACCCACCGCCATCTCAGATAAGTAGCAAGCATCTACATTAAGTTTCCATCTAGTTCTAGGTTTTTCCCATCTGATAATCTGAAACAATCGGCCTTTAAGCTTAAAATCTTTGGGAATAAGATGCTCTTCATGTAAAATATTACCAATTGATCTTAGTCTGACCCTTGACAATCTATGAACCCAGCTTTGAGTATATTAATTATTCTCTTAATCTATCTATATATTAATGTTGGGGAGTGTTGCTAAGATGACAATTAGTTAACATCTCGACATTAATTATGGTAGTATTTATTTTCTTCCTCTATATATTAATGTTGGGAGTGTTGCTAAGATGACAATTAGATAACATCTTGACATTAGTTATAGTAGGATTATTCATATTTAATCTTCTTCCTTGAATATTAATTCTTCCCTTAGTCTATCTCTATGTTAATGTTGGGGAGTGTTGCTAAGATGACAATTAGTTAACATCTCAACATTAATTACTACTAGAAACGTTCAACGAACCGATGGTTAATCGTTGATGGTTTCACAAGTAAGTAACTCCGGTTTATTAATGCACGGTCGTGGTTAATAAACTTAAGAGGGATTAATTTTGTTGGTTAAACCGAAACCGTTGTGTTGAGGTTATCAATCTCAATTGATTTCAACAAGGAGTTAAGAGATTAAATGCTACTATCAAGTCGGTATATGGCGGTGTTCAATACTTGACTAATAATAAGAGTTATTAATGAACGGTCGTTGTTAATAACTATCCTCGATGAATTGGATATACTCCTCGATTGAGTATTCGAGAGGGGATAAGTTATAGATATAACAATGATCGACTGAAATATATCAACAAGTGGAAAGTAGCAATGCCAAGTTCCCTTTTATTCTTAAATTAAATCTCATATAAGTCGTTCATCTTCGTGTTTAAATTAATTAAATCACTCAAACAAATCCCCCCCTTTTATTTACTAGTTTCATAAAAAGAAAGTTATTCCTTTCCCTGTGGATACGAACCTTACTACACTATACTACGTATTAGTGTTGTATTGAATATTTATTTTGAAGTGCACACTACGACAAAGTGCACGTCACACCCCGATTGAGGTGACCCCTCGGCCGTTGGATTAGTGACACGTGTACTCTCATCGCATTTATTACTGCTATAAATAGCCACTACAACAAAATTGATTTATAGAGGCAATACATAATTGCCTCTATATATAGGAAAGTGGTCTCTAATTGCTTTTAGAGGCAATTTATTGGTTGCCTCTAAGGTGTCTCTAATAACTCCGTCCCTAAATGATAGTTGCCTCAAAACCTACCTTTAGAGGCAATCAAAGGTGTGACTCTAAATAGTATGTATTTAGAGACAACCATATCATCTTGTCCCAAAATATTATTTGAGGCAACCACATTATCTTGTCCCAAAACATCATTTGAGGCAATAATATTAACTTGACTCAAAATACCATTTGATGCAATCGTATTATCTTGTCCCAAAACATCATTTGGGACAACCAAATTATGTTGCCTTAAAATATAATTAGAAGCAATCATAATATAGTCTCCAAATATCATTAGAGGCAATGCCTCATGATATTACATATGTTTAGATGCAATTGATTTCTTTTTATATATTATTTACTTTTCACATACAATGTACGATGCTACAGAAATATAGGCAGCAGTTTCAAATGTTGTCTCGATTAATTTAAATCATACTGTCAAATAAAATATATACTTAAAATGTAGTAGACATCTAGCCATAAACATTACATTTAAACTCGTAGCTGGTATTATTATGTAACTTAAATCCATAACAATTAACAAGGTTTACTCATCCAATGATTACATAAATAACTTAAAGTAATTTACAGCTAATTAATAAAGTTCAATAATACAGAGCTAGAACAAATTTAGTACCTATTGGATTAATTAACCTAAATAAAACTAAAGGCTAAAGAAAATTCACTTCAAATAAGACATTGATCTTCATCCGTAGGCATTTCATCACCTTCCTCCACCTGACATAATAAAAATAGTAAATTAACATTTTGTAAATAATAATATAGGACTACTGCTATTCCTTAAAGATATGCCTCCATGATTAAGCAGGGTTGTGAACAGATTGTTAAAATCATTCTTAAACATGATTACAGAAATTTATTAGCCAGACTAATATAGGAATACTGCTATTCCTAAAAGATACGGCTCCACCATAAAGACATACATAGACACAATCACATATATAAATAAAACACAATCACATATAGAAATAAAACTGGGCATAAACATATTCAAACACAAATGGTCATATATGCTATATATAAACATATAAAGCTAGGCATACTGCTCTAAATATATAGCCATAAACACAAACTAAACAAAAACAGTAGAAGTGGAGAGCACGGCGAGGTAAAATAGTAAGACATTAAGAGAAGAAATCTAAGGAGAAAGGAGAGAAAACAGGCCCTTAGAACACCAAGCATCATAAGCAATAAATAACAAACACTAGTATGCTTTCCAATGTTTTGACACATGGAACAAGAGAAGCTCTACGATTTCTCTCATCCACAGTTTGATTTGGTCATAATCTGCTGTAAGAGTTATTTCTTGTTCTTAGTCCGAATCTGCAACAAAATATGTAACTAACCATATATCAATTGTTAAACTAGGTGATAAAAGGATCTGACAGTTTACTATTTATCTAAACCAAATGTTCAATATAAATTTCAAAAAAAGTAAACATAAAATAGGTAATACTGAGTAAAAATGCAAAAGTATAGTATAGTTTTACTAATAAGTACATGAAGTCAAGCAAGTGTAGCAGAGGTTTACTTGAGTTATATAAAAATAGTGTACTTATAAAGTTATAACTTATAAGTACCCGTTAGCCATCTATAAAAGGATGAAAAAGAAGTATCTCCTCGTTCATGACTATAATTTAAATTAAAAAAAACAAAAAATAGTAAATGAGTAAATCTTAATCTACACTCAATAATATTAAAATGAATACTTAACACACGTCAGAATTGTCTTCTCTGTAGGAGATAAATATATATTAAAGTTATTATATTACAATAGTTCTTAGCAATTCAGGTGACCTGAGATAAATCATATGGTGCAAGAAGAAATGGATTATCATATAAAACATTGCTCCTTATTATGCACGGACTATGTGAACCTGCAATAACTCTAAAAAATGATGGAAGTGAATATGTTGATGCTGATTGCTGAAGAGTAAAGACGTATTGCTTAAGTATACATATGCTCAGGAATTAAAACACTTTATTATAACTAATATTTCATGTTTCATTCAGTATAAGTGAATATATATCCTAATAAAAAGATCAATAGTTGTATAATATTAAGACTGATAGGATGCATATCTTTTTTTATACTACAGAATATATCATTGAACTGAATATTTAAGAGTGATAAGGAACTCACTTCAGCTCAGCTCCATGCCAAAAAAAAGTCATGAAAGTTGTTGTAATTCCTTGATCTAAAGCAAGAATCCGCAAAATAGTTAACACCATATAATTCAAACATTGGAGTAAAGTTATGATAAATAAACAAATATAAATCTCTCCTAAATCTACTAAAAACACGGGATTTTTTGGTTCATATATTTCATCGAACACCTTATTTTCATCATTAACCAAGAAACGGTGGGAAGCAAAACTCAACCTTTGAACTTGTAAAATCAAATATAATAAACATTTGGAGGAAAGATCACCTTCAACATACTGATAAGTTGAGGATATAAGCCAGGGAAAAAGTGAAGATGGGGCCGAATCAAGATTTGAGATTTCAGTCCTTATTCATTTGAGAAGAACCTGGATCGGAAATCATATAATACGTATAATTAACTTCTAACACCGTAATTCATGTTCAGACAAGCATGGCCTTATTCTCTATAAAATGGTAAATATGCATTTCAATGCAATAGAGTAGAGCTTATTTATAACCTTTGGTTACTGGGAGTCTGGGACTGAGATCGAATCCAGATTCTGCAGTTGCTTCTTCATGTCAAGGAGATAATGTAGGAGTAGTCATAGCTAATCTAAAATCTATTTTGATTCTGATTAGTGAATGGGGAATGTCAGTTCCAGAATGCAACTCAAGTATTATTAGATAATCTGAAATCTGTTTTGCTCTTCATACTTGATGTAGTAAAACGAATAATCAGAAATCACAAGCTCATATAATCAAATATGATTACATCATAAACAATTAATAAAACACGAGTATAACCAAAGATAAAAAAAACGAAGGTGGCAACAAAATTGGGAAACTTCTTGTTATGTGGTTACCTTAAGAATACAAGAGCTGGGGCAGTGACCGATGGAGCAGTCAGCCCGACAGTGACGGACGAGCGGACTCTGGTCACAGAGCCTCAGCACCGTGGTCGGATTTGTTATCATCCCGCGCAATGGAACAATTATGGGATTGTAGCCGGCGAATCGGTGATGAAGATTCTGGAAGCGGTTTGAGGCTTTCTGCCGTCATGTTAGATCGTGATCGCGTCGATTCAGCTAATCTGGCGTGCTTCGATATATCTACAGACCACGAAAATTGCTCCCTGGTTGAGAAGCGGCTTCACCCTGGTTAATATTGAGGGTGATGGTGAAGGTTTTGCCTCTGAGCCGCACCACCAGTGCTCCTACGGCGGCGCACGGGGCAAAGGATTGTGATTCAGCGCTGAAGTTTGGGCGGTCGGAGGCGGAGGCCTGTTTTAATAGTTTCAAGGAAAAGAGGGAGGGTTTCGGCCTTTCGGGTTCTCCATTCCCTGGAGGCCCGGACCCCTTTCTAACTATTGATGAAAGAAAACAAAAAAAACATTAAAAATCAAAGCGCCAGGTTAATTTTTTGAATTGGCGCCACCCGCCAATGAGCGGACTAGCAGATTTTATTTTAGGGATCGGGTGTTGATGCAATAATGAAAACATATAAAAATGGTCCCAAAAGATATTTAATTTTACTATATTTGTGACTAGAAAAAGAAGCCGTACATAAATATTTTGTTGCAAAGAGTCCTTTTTTTAGTAAAAAATTTTGAAATATAATTTTTCATAACTTATCAGTTTCAACTAATTTTTTAATGTTACCAAACGGTCATAAGATTGCAATATAGTCAGATTTTAAAATTTAGAATACTTTAGAAGCAAAAAAATGAAATTCATCTAATTAATTGCATCTTATATTAAAAGACTAAGAAAATAGTTGCTACAAACTCTTGTCTGTGTAAATGATACCCGGTATATGTTTTGAAGCAGATGTTTTAGTGGCGACCCTAACAAGGTTGCTCCAAATAATACTTTTAGGGGCGACTATGCTTTTGCAACAAGCTTTTAGAGGCAACCCTGAAAAGATTGCTCCAAATAGTACCTTTTAGAGGCAAGAAAATTTTGGTTGCTTCAAATGTATTGACGGCTTATAAGATTAGAGGCAACAAGATTTATATGACGCTAAAATGGACTTTTAGAGGCAAATTGTTTCAAAGTGTTGCCTCTATAAACGATTTTTCTTGTAGTGAGCAGCCCTTATTCCTCTTGTAAAGGATCGTGCTATTCATGTAATTTCCGATTGTATGTTTGTATTTTTAACTAGTTTTTATTAGTTCTAGTTGTGAAAATTACACACTTTTGGTGTAATACTTTATTTTCATTTTTATTTGTAATTTAGTTAGATTAGGATTTTTCTGAGCTAAACAGGTCAAAGATCATCTAAGGGATCAAGATTGGACCTTAAAAAATCAAGGAAAGTGCAAGGAGACAAGAAAGATTTCGATTTGGAAAAAATACTCATGTACCCGGTCGGGTATTGCCTATACCCGATCGGGTAATTGCTTGATTCGACTGTCCAAATCAAATCCGAAGACAAATGATCATGGGAGCAAATTTTCATAAAGATTTGTCACATACCCGATCATGGGTAAGTTGACCATTACCCCAAATACGTCTAATCCCCCCCTTGATTACCTCCATGGAATCTCCTAACGCTTTTAAACCGTCTTGCACACATAAATTTATCACATGACATGCACACCGTTGATGAAAAAATCTACCCATCAAAGTATTGGCACCACACAACTCACGCAATCTAGGTATAGCAGCAATATTATTAGTAGCATATCGAAACCAATAGCAAACACCTTATCAATCAAATTATACTCAATTAAAATACGCTCAATCAAAATATAAATATGTTCAGCGGTGTGACGATCATTAAATTCATGAAAAGCAAGAACACATTTATGCATATTCCAATCCTCATCAATATAATGTGCAGTCAGACCCTAATAATATAAATGATGAAAATCATCCTCCCATATGTCAGAACAAATAGTAACACGCCCATCAAAGTTTGCAAAAAAAATTTGTAACCTTGCCTTTTCCGCATTATAAAGCCTTATTATTTCTTTCTTAACAGTTTTGCGACTATAATTTCTAAATTGAGGATTTAAACTACCTTGTGCATAATCTCTTAAAGCAAGACTTTCAGAAAACAAATAAGGCAAATTTTCTTCACAAATTAAGTTAGCTATACCAGTCAAATTTTGTGCATCATTGTAGGAGAAATTACCAAAAGGTTGAGAATTCGCAAACCTCGATATTTGAGTTTGCTTCCCCGTTCCGCCGCCTAATTTTGCATACTCCACGGGGTGCTTTGCCTTAAGATGCCTTGCGGCGGATCCGTATCCGCCGGAGGTTCCCAAACTATAATTGTTGTTGCACCACTTGCAAGTTGCGTGCCAATAGCCGGTTTATGGGTCCTTCCATTTATCAAAATTATTTTTCATTAGTTCAGACTTACTTTTTTTTATTACCGGTGACGGTTTGGGATGAGGCAGGCTCGTCGGCGTCGTGGCTGCCGGCACCCTCCTCCTCGGCCGTCTCCGGTTCCAATTCCTCCGCATCTTCATCCTCAAGCTCCTCTTCGTCAATGGTCGTCGGCATTTGTTGTTGTTGTAGAAAGCGGTTATTATGTCGGGCCAATTCTTGTTGGATTTGTTTTTCGGACATCGCATCTCCATCTCGCCTTTGGTAACCCGTTTCAAAATCATCTCGGCTTTGAGATGAAGAACCGGCAAGTTCTTTACCTTTGCGGGATTTCTTCCTCCCAATCTCGTTCCTTCGATTGCGTTGGAGGTTACCCAAATCAACCGAATATATACCACCTTCCATCTTAAAAATGTAACAAATATTAATTGACAACAAATATAATAATGGATACAAAACTAATGCATCTAATTAAAACTATTTTAATTAATACTTCAAACTAGTTTAGTGCAAAGTAGAATTAATGTGTGACTTTAAAATTAAAATTAGACCAACTTTTGAAGTACTTTAATTTAGTAAAAACTACTTAAATAAAATGTTAAGTACTTTAATTAAATGATTGAACTACTATTTCTTCCTACAAATATAAATTGAAAATAAGAAAATGTGACTTTAACTATAATGACAATTAACTAGTTTATTGAAGTAGAGTTGTTTTAACAATTAATGAGAATACTAATGAAGTAAATAACTAGTATAATGAAAAATGTAACAACAATGCTAATTAACTAATTAACTAGTATAATGACAAATGTAACAAGAATGCTAATAAACTAATTAAATAGTATAATGAAAAATGTAACAACAATGCTAATTAACTAATTAACTAGTATAATGACAAATGTAACAAGAATGCTAATAAACTCATTAACTAGTATAATGAAAAATGTAACAATAATGGTAATGAACTAATTAACTATTATAATGAAAAATGTAACAAGAATGCTAATTAACTAATTAAGTAGTACAATACTAGTTATAGTAAGTAATATATAATATAATGTTTATAGTATGTAATATATAAGTATACTACTATAAGATGAGTAATACACTTATATTTTATACTTTAATATATAAAGTATATATTAAGTAGATGTAGAATGTATGTATTAAGTGGATATAATAATTGTATAAGAATTAAATATTAGAGTATAATGGAGAATTGGAGATTGGAAAATAAGAAAATAAGTATATATGAAATAGATATTATAAAGCATATATAAAAGTAGATATTATAACATAAGTATATATAAAATAGATATTATTAAGTAGAGAAGTAGATATTATTATGTATTAAGTATATAGTAATAGTTTATAAAGTATATTTAATACTTTATTATATAAAGTATTATATTAAAAAAAAAAGTAGATGTAGTATGTATGTATGTATTAAGAGATATAAGTAGATATTAAGTAGATAAGAAATATAACTATATAAGTAATATAGTATATGTATTTATAAGTAGATAATTAATATATAAGTAGATATAATAATTGTATAAGTATTAAATAGTAAAATAAAATATAAAGGAGAATAATAGAATTTGAGAAGATGAATATGGGGAATTGGAGATGAGTAGAGAGTAGGATTTAGGGAGACTTGGAGAAGAGGTGTGAAAAAATGTTTAAAATTAGGAGTATTTATAGGTTTTTTTTAACCCCCCCACCCCCCACCCCAAAGGCCTCGGACCCCCCTCGTACCCACCCAACGGCTATATAGCCGTTTGGGAAGTGGCTGTTGAGCCAAAATGGGGTTTTTGAAATTAAAAGATTTTTTTTTTTTTTAAATATGACCGTTAGGCCCGGGCCCGGCCCCGACCCGGCCGAGCCGGGCCACCAAAAACAGAACCCGAGCCCGGACCCGCTCCCCCACCGGTTCGGTGCCCGAACCGGACCCGGACCCAAGAACCGGGCCGGTTCCGGGCCCGTACAGTGACGGGCCGGGCCGGTCCCGGGCCGGGCGACCCGAACCGGGTCCATGCCTAATTGAAAATATCCATTATCTTCTATAGATAAATTATGAATGCTTACTGACAAAGTTATTTGTTTAGGGTCAGTTTGGATGGAGGCATGGAGCCTGGAGGGCTTCTCAGGGCTAGTCTGTATTTTAAAATATCTAAGATATATGCAAGTATGTGTGTGTGTTCTATTCATCAATACTACTTCATTCAAGCTGAACCGTACAAAGCATTCGTATCAAACCGACTTGCAGGTTCAGCCGCTTCCACCAGCTCTACTTTTTTAGCCTCTTGTGATATTTATTAAGGAACTCAGCTTTCTGGTCATATAAGTGGGACTGTGGGACATGTATACATACTCTAGCAGTGGTATTTTATGCTTTGTGCACGGTGTTTGAACCTTTTTCTTTTCATGGAATAAATGACTATAGTTGTTTGCATGTCCATACCAACTTTTGTAGTTTTATCATAAGATTATAACCAAGGTGATGTGTGCTCCCTATCTTTAGAAACCCATCTCTTCTTTCATATTCTCCACCGGAATTCTCAAACCCAACTCTATCATAATCGGTATGGTTTTCTTCTTCATAGTAACAATTTACTTTTTGTTTCCTGTTGAATGAATAAATCTATCACGTTCTGAATGCTATGTATCAAGTGTAGCAAGGGGAGTTGACTGTGAGATAAGTGTGGCTTGTGCGGGGCTGGAGAAGAGTTGCCGCTGCATATTTTTGTGCAGTGCTCGGAAGCTGCTGAGTTCTGGAGCTACTTTAGTTGGGGGTCGATGTTCTTTTTGGCTAATTCTTTACTTGAGTGGGTGCAGGCTGTTTTTGAGGGGCAAAGTAACGTACTAACGTGGAGAGGGGTTGGGTTTGCTTGGGTGTATGGGGTTTGTGGAAGGAGAGAAACCGCGGGGTGTGATTAGTTATTTCAGTAGGTGCTGGACAGATTTTTAGCAGGTTACACCAATTTTTTGAAGGCTGGAAAATGATGCAATTGAAGCCTTATTTCGGTACAAGCAGGTTGGACTCTCCTTGTAGCAGCGACCAGCGAGCGGGATAATTAAAGTTAACGTAGACGCTACAATTAGAGAAAATAGGCATGGTCTAGGATGGGTGGTTCGTGATTCTGAAGGGCTATTCGTACCTGGAGCTACTAATTACCATGGACATGAAGGTGTCCTATGGAAAGCTGAGATGTTATCTATCCAGCATTTTGAATTTCTTAAGAAACCTTCATCTCCTCTAGCATGACAACAAATTTGTGAACACTTCACTTCTTGGAGTTTTTTATTGTTTTCATCATCTCGCACAAAAAAATTGTCTTCCTTCGAAGGGTAAGGTTCAAGTGAGAAGAACCCTTTGGGTGAGAAATGAGAATTAATCTCAGCCATTGGATTCAAATAAGTTGCAGTAAAAGACACTTCATGATGCACTGAAATATGCAATCTAGCACGGTGGCATTTCTGTAAATACTTCTGAAAAATCCGTATTACACGTGTCTAGTGCAACATGAAGCTATTTTGGTGCAACGCCGTCAAATATTAGTGCAACATGAAACATTTTTAGTGCAACATGTGCAAAATTTAAATATTACTACAACATAAAGCCAATTTTAGTGCAACTTCGTAAATCCAATGGCTGAGATTCATTCTCATTTGTCACATTAGATGCATTTCTCACATTAAATTTCATTTGGGCTCTATTTACACTTCTTTAAATGCGAGATACAGATTGAGTTTATCGACTTATGTTAATGTTTGCATTCCTATTTATTAGTGATTATGTGTGAATAGCTAATTTATAATCTGAGCAGTTCTCACTATTCAGACCGAGATTTTGATAAATAAGAAACTGGTTATAATTTATAATCCCCAGATTATGTGTGAATAGCTATTTTGGTCCAAAACTGTCCATTTGTACAGTAATAAACTATACACTACATGTTCTCAGTCATTTCTTCTCATTGCACTTGTAAACTTATGAATGAACAACTTTAGGATTTCATTTACGCCCTAAATAAGCAGAACTACATACATAGTACATACTAACCAAGGAAAAAAGTGAAACCAAAGAAATAACAATACTCTTCGATCAGTAAAACAATATAATATTATGTGCATATTAACAATCAACTTTTCGCAGCAATAAAAGAAAGTGAAATTATTGTCCATGTATGTTTTGATCATTTATGGGCTCGTGATGAAGAAAGAGAGGTTTGCCTTACGTTTGTAGATGCACGGGTCATGGTAAGCGAGGACCTTTTGTCCTTCGCAATACACGTTGGAGTTTGACATTGGGAATTTGGGATGCTAAGAGAGTAATTGCTATTAATGGCGGCATGAAGCCTTTGAATTTTACTCATCAGTTAGAACGACATGCTGGCTTACTTCGAAATCTCTCAAGCATTCGAAGGGCGTGCTGGATTACTCTTCTCTGCCAGCAAATTACTGAGGACCATTTAGAAATGTGTTGGAGCCATTTAGAAAGCCGGAGCCTGAAAGCATTCGAAGGAGGTAGTACTACTATGTACATTTTACTTTATCATGCATTACTAGTACGTAGAAGAATACTCCCACTTATATTGTCCCGTTTTACCTTTTCGGGAACTCCCACTTAAATTGTCTCATACCATATTTGGTAAAGTTTGTGTGGCTCTAAATCATTCTTACTTTGTTCTTACTTTATCAATTAATATCAACCACACAAACTCACTTTTCTTAATAACTGTGACACCCTCTTCCGTCCCAATATAAATGGGACGGAGGTAGTATTATTTAGAGGTTGAACTACGTGCTATTGGATATGTACTTTGAAACAACGTATTAAACCTTTTTGCTTGATAGTTGATACATATCTTAAACTTTATGTTTTTGTTATGTTTAAACTTAATGTTTTCACTAAGATATTTTTGTGATATTTGAATATTGGAATATAATGTATGTATAATGTAATGGTCATAATTTCATCATTTGAAATTTGATTTTTTTATGTAACTGGAGGTAAAATGTGTTCATTTTATGAGGATAATAATTTTTTATTAGGAACTGAAAAAACGTAAGAACCGAACTGAATTTAATTAGAACCGAACCGAATTTAACTACATTTTCACTAGAACCGAATCAAATTTAGCGCCTATAATTTTAATATGGTTCCATCGAATTTGAAAAGAAGTATCCCTACTAGGCCACTACCTGTAGCAACCCATCAAAAATCAACATTCGAGACCCTAACAACTCAATAGTGGACTTTTTAATATTTAATCTTGTGCGAGACTTTTTTGTTTTAAGATGGTTTTTTTAAAGGTAGATGAAATTTATTTTAATATGCACAATTATTACATATTTTTTTAAAGGTAGACGAAGTTGTTATGTTCGTCTTATTCTTA